TATATATATATATATATATATATACGTATATATATAGGACTGAGTTTAATGCATAACAATGAATTTATGATACCATACTTTCTTTATTTTTCTACTCTATTTTCTTAAATGTGAAAATAATAAATAATCATAATAATAAATAAAGTAAATACAGAAAACCATATTGAAAACAATCTAGTTTGTGATGGTATTACACAAGTGGGCGGTGGTAAGCAAAACTGTTACTCCACCGGTGGGACTTCGCCCTGTGGCTCGTGAAATTCCTTCTCATCCTCGTTTACGTCCTGCAGATTACAAAATACCTTATGTATTGCGTACATTTATTAAAGATCGTCATACGAGTGATATGCAGCATCTAGAAAACCGAGGAATGTTCGCAGAAGAACTACGCATTGAGCGATCAAGGTTTCCACGTTTTCACAAAACATTGGTTATTCAGACAGATGGATCCCTTAACGAGCGGGAGTTTGAATTTGCTGTTCCTCCATTAATGACACTTTTTCATGATCGACTATCGGCTCATCGTCAACGTCAGATAGAGTTAGCAAAAATAGGGAAATTACGGAAGGAAAAAAGTTGGGAAACAAAGTTAACTGGTGAAGAATCTATTAACCCAGTGTGTAATGCCTTAGTTTTTCCCTACTGTGTACCCAAGGTGATGAGGAAGAGACCAAAACTTGTAGATCCTTTGAGTGCTAAATCAGTTGTTCAAATGTCTACGTCATCGGATCGTGGAGGAGATTGATTGAATCATTTCTGCAAATAAGAAAGTACGCTTATTTCTCTTTATAATGGTAAAATGCCATTATTCTGTTGTTCTTATTACATGATATTGTTCGATGGATATACATCTAACGTTTTTTTTTTTTTTTAATCGTTTATATTTTTTTTTTTCTTTTTTTCTCTTTTTTTTTCTTTTATTATTTTATACTCTTTATGTTTCTTCCGCTTCTACAAACTGTTTGCTATTCATTTTTTTTTTTTTTTTTGTTTTAACCTTTGTATTTATTTCTTGTACAGAAGCTGGCTTTATTCAAGGATAATCTCTTCTTAAGAAAATGAACTCCATCGAGAATTCCCATGATGCCATCATCTCGCGTCTCTCGCAAGATACTCTGCGGGATATTGAAGGTCTTGATCCTTCACAGTTTGGCTTTGGGAGAAGTGAGTGCTGTGGACCTGTACCGGAGAAGCTACCTGGCAGTATGAAGTTTTCAGAGCATATTTTTCTTGCTACTGACCTGCCAGCAACACAGTGGAAACCGCATACAGAGAACGTAGAAGGATACTCAGCAATGGAAAGTGCTGTAAAGGCAGAAGGGGAAGGCATGAAATTAACTGTTTACCACCGACCTGGTCCAGATGCATGTGTGCTGAGATTTAAATACAATGAATCCCTTCAATCTATTTTGATAACACAGTACAACTGTATTACAGAAGGAGAACTCCCTTGGAATTCTAAAGGAAGTATTAGTTGTGATCGTTCAAATGAAACATTTGTATTTGTTTGTTCTCATCGTTCTCGTGACGATCGTTGTGGTTACTGCGGAGCTGTTTTGGTAGATCTTTTACGTCAATCTATAAAAGCTAAGAAGAATAATGATGAGTCCATTCATGTATACCCATGTTCCCATGTTGGTGGGCACATATATGCTGGTAATGTACTAGTGTACACGAAAAAAGGTGGTGTTTGTTTTGGTTGTTTTACCCCTGCTGATGTCGATACTCTTGTGGATTTCCTTGTTAATGGTGGTAGTGGGAGCATACCTTCATCATTGGCATCTCGTATTCGTGGAAGCATAGGTTTCACGGAGAATAACTCAAAATGCTCTCTCATGTGAGAAGAAACATCGTTAACGATAAAAAAAAAAGAGAAAAAGAAAAAGAATAATTCAATGATCAATATGAAAACAAAGAAAAAAAAGGAAACATATATACATACATATATATATACAGAAAAAAGACAAATGAGAAACAAAGATGGAAGAAAAAAAAAAAAAGATATTTTATATCTTTAACTGTTTGAGAAGATGAAATCCAAATAAAAAAAAAATGAGGGAGTAGTAGAGCGAGCGGAAGAAAAAAAAAAAAAAAAAAAAAGAACCCGGGTTTGATGTGGGAAGGATAGTGTATGGGTCCGTTAGTACTGAGTATTGTTTTTGTAGGAGACATTTGTCTTTTTATTCGATGAATCCTTAGTGTATCTCTCTCTGTGTTTTTTTTTTTTTATTGGTTCTTCTGTAATTTGTATTGGTAATGAATGTTTTTTTTTTTTGTCTGTGTTTATTTCGTTCTGCATCCATTTCTTTTTTCGTTTCTCTTTTATTTTCACATTTTAAAGTAGAGTCTACTTTGTTAGTGTATAAGTAATGACAACGGATGTGGTTCACTTGAGGTTAAACAAATATGAATGGATTGAGAATACGCTTGTAAAGGGTACTACACCTTTGCAGTCTAATGACCTTGTTAAGGAGGTACTTAGCGGTGCTATTTCATGCTCTGAGAAAAAGGTTTATCTTTGTGGTGGGTACGATCCTCGATCTGCTTGTTCTCTTTCACAAGTGGCTGAATTTGATTTTGCTACGAAACAATGGTCAAAAGGTATACCATTACCTGAAAAAGTACGAGATGCAGCAGCTATTGCATTTGGTGATTATTGTCTTGTTTTTGGAGGATGGAATGATACGTCTTACTGCAATAATCTCTGGTTATTTGGTCCCAAAAATCAAGATGCCTCTATAGCTAATAGTAAGGAGAGTGTTAGTTTCTCATGGACGCTTGTGCGACCCAGTGACGTATCCCCTTGTGCGCGTGTATGCCATTCTATGGTATTGGGTACGATGGGTGGTGAAGATGAAACTTCTCCGCAACCGGTGGTGTATCTCTTTGGTGGCTTTGATGGGGAACGTCGTTTGAATGATGTGTGGCGACTGCGACTTGATCCTGTGCTGTCTGGTGGGAGTGCCGCTTGGGAGTTGGTGGAGGCGAAGAGCGGGACGCCGCCGTCGCCGCGTGACGATGCGGCCGTTGCCTTTGACGCTGCGGGGGAGCGGCTGTTGGTGTTTGGCGGCTTCGCCTCGTCGCTGCGGAGTGATCTGCACGTCTTGTCGCTGCGGGGCGGGGCGAACGGGTGGACGTGCGAGGCGTGCGTGGGGGTGCCGTCGCGGCGGCAGCGGTGCGTGGCGGCGGTGACCGGCGGTCATCTCGTCGTGTGCCTCGGCGAGGACGAGCGGGGGGCGGTGGGGCAACTCCTGCAGGTCACCCTCACCGACCGGCGGTGGGCCCGACTCGCCCTCGAGCGCGACGATCTCGCCGGTCGGCGGGGGGCCGTCGGGTGCGTCAGTGAGAAAGGCCGTCGCGTTGTGCTCTTTGGCGGCGGTGACCCACTGCACCAACACACCTCTCTTCTCGAACTCGAACTGGATAAGGGAGAGGCAAGCACTGCACGGAAGCGATAACATCATCATCATCATCATCATCA